ACCTACGTACCTTTTTCTGAACCAGGGAATATATTTTTTTTTAAATGATCATACTCAGATCGCTAGAAAAGGTTTGTTGCTTGAAAATTTTAAAGGAAATTATAGTTTAATTGTAATAACATTTAAAAAAAAGTTAGTATTTGGGATGTGAGCATTTTTCACTTCATCACCGGTTGTCAGATAAATTGCAAATATTAAATGTAACATTTATTATTAAATAAAACAATAACTTTATATTTTCCTTGCGTTACCCTTCCACTGGCGAATAGAGTTACGAAAATATGGATATCCCAGCTAAGATATAACTTTATTCATAAGAGGGTTCGATGTCGTTATTTCAGTTTTAAAAGAGAGAAAGAGAGAGAGAACAAAATGTTTTGTACGAATGTTTGAGCAATGGAAACTGACGGTAATCTTCAGTGCTATTTGATATTTGTTAAGTAATTCTACAATGGTAAAAATTCTATTTGTACTCCTGTCCGTTAGTGTCATTAGTCTTTAATCGGAGCTAGATTTACTTGGATAAATTTTACAGCGAAATTATTCGACGATGCTATTTTGTAAATGTTTCAAAAAGGAATCAATTCCTGTGTGATTTAGTATGTTCACACGCATTTGCATTTTGTGTGTATGTTTTATTATAAAATTCAAATTTTATGATAAATTGTGGTTAGCTGCGAACTTTTGTCTGCACAACTAAGCCCACTACGATACGAAAAGTGCTTTATGCATTTCCCGTATGATATTTAGCTGAGCTACCATAAAGTTTGCATCGCATAATATACGTCATTTTTACAATACCCTAGCGATATAACACGCAATTTTGTTGTAAAAAAAAAGTAGCTTATAATATTCCCGCATGCATCAAATTCCCGTCAAAGTGTCTTCAAAATCGGCCAGGCCATTTCGGAGATTAACCGGAATAAACACGGCATGTCCGCAAGACACACAAACTTTTTTTATACCAGCAACTAAAGTCGCAAGTTTGTTTAACGTATAAATTGTTTATTCTTTATCGTGAATCAAATGGTAAAGAAAAGACATTAGTCCTCATTTCTCGTCTTAAATCTTACGTTCTTTTATCGTACAGCGGAAAATCGCATTCAGTATGACTTTAAAATAAAGGGACATAAACATATTGATTATTATATTATAGTTTAAATATATTACATGAGATGTGATTAACACAAACAAAATAAACTGAAATGATAAAGAATAAACCTAATTATTTAGAGAACCGTCGGCAAAATGATATTCAAAAGTATAAATTTCCAACGAAGTTTAAAAATTAAATGATTTTACCAAAAAAAAAATCTAAGCTGTGTCAAATCAATTAATTAAAACTAGGAAGCAACCAAAGAAGTAACATTAATATTAAAAATTAGAATATTAATTAAAATAATATTAACAGCATGCTAAAGCAAATATAACATGAAATTTATTGATACCTAAACTAAAAAAAAAAAACATTAAAAAACGATAGTAATAATCAAACTAGTCACGGCTAGAGATAACTTAAAAAGATTTTAATCTTTGGTTTTTATATTATAATATTTTCTATAGAAGCAAGATTATTAGAAACTTCATTGCTGGGTAAATAACATCCTTCAACCATAAATGTGTATATTACATATGTACATTAACCAATATAAAGATCGCTACAAACACTTTGAATGCCACTACGATTTTTACTTTTTAAAAATCACATTCGGTAGCATTGAACGTGTTAAATCACTTGATGTTAACTAAAACATATCTTAAATGTTTTGCATTTAAATTGCATTTATATGTCATTTTTATGATGTTAAGGCCTCTTTGAATTATTATTAGGAGGTAAAAAAAAAGTTCGGTGAAAATTATTATAAAATTAAAAACTACATGCATTGTAAATTTTATATATAAATAAGATTCTTTTTATAAATTATTTAAACTATTTAGAAGCTGTTATTACGAATGAAAAAAAAAATCACGCACACATACAAATGTAGAGATCAATATTTTTAGTATACAAGCACTTATGTTCATTTTTTAGGGTTATTTTTTCTGTTTAAGACTCTCAGGATCTTTGACATTCAACCGAATATACCATTGATATGTAATTTATCTTCAAGTCAAAAAGATAAACAAAGACTCGACTATGAAATTAGCTCCCTGAATATCGGCACAAAATTTTCCTTCCAAAATGAGAAAGACTTTGCCTATCTCTTTTCATACGTCGAGATAGACTTCTATCCTACTCACTCTCACACGTAAAACAGAGACATCTTTTTCACCACTCTCTTTCTTTCATACAATTAGACTGAGACACAATTTTCGTATGTCGATTTATCTTTCCTTGTTCTTATCATATCACTTTCACATTATTCATGCCAAGTTCATACTTAAAAGAAATTCAATTATATTTATTTTGGCAATATAATAGGGTGCAATCTAAAAGAAATCAAATTTTTAAATCTACCAAGCCTCTGGAAAAACAATTTTAAAAAGGGTAACCACTCTATGACCACGATACCATATAAAACCTTCTTTTTTTAAATAAATCGGCCAGATTTACCTAACAGATACGAATATTGCACTACAAAAGTATATAAGATGGGGAGAATTTATACCTATGTATTATGACGATACTTATTGCTAATTAACTCTTATAATATATTGCGTTTCCTTATATATTAATTATATGTAATATATAACTACGTGATTGAATGACTGAACGCAGTTATTCCGCGCTGAGGTGAAGTTAACAATGATTATGATGTGTGTTTTTTATTATTTTCCTTCAGAACTTATAACCACATAACTCATGCCTGTTACCTAAAGGGGTAGGAAGAGAGCAAGGACATCAATTTAGCGCAAGTCCTAGCACACCTCTCGCTTCTAATTTATCATGTCAGATATTCATCATAATTAGTAAGGAAATAATGCCTCGTTTATTATGTATGTAAATATTATGTTTTCTTTTGTAAAATTATATTTATTGTTTTTTTTTCATTTGTGAACATACAAACAACTAATACAAAGCAATCTGAATGTATGAAAAAGTAATCCGTAATGAGTCCAATAACGAAATGTGCATTTTTGAGCATTAAAAAGAAAAATTATATAATGGTAATTTCCATATCTAGATCTAGTACATCATTTCTCAAGGTCATTCGTTACCACAAATGTACTTTTATGTATACGAATGGATTAATATTTCGCAGTGTATTTTATAATTCTGAAGGAAAATAATATTAGTAATAATACTAATACATTTATGATTTATATTTCGCAAACTTACGGGAATAAATATATATGTGTTATTGGAGTATATATGTATATAAATATATGAATACCATTTATTATTTTGTGACTCTACTGTATTCTATATGTGAATGTATTATGTACTAAACTAGTGACATAGTTATCGTTATATATAAGCTAAACTGGAGGTATTATGTCCATATAATTATAATTAAATATTAAAATTAACTTTGTGTTAAATGTAGTAATGAATTGTTTTTATCATTTTAGTTGTGCTTACTTTAGAATTTGTGATATAACCTAACCTTAAAAAACCCGACTGACTGAGATGCCTATTGAACGAAACAGCTCCATCTATTAACTTCATTTTGAAACAAATATACTGTTTTTTTTAATAAAGCCGGAAATATCGTAAATGGGATTTATCATTTTAAAAAATGTCGAGTGAAATTCGAACTCGTTTATACGACTTTAGAATTTTATTTCTTATATACACTATAAATTAGTTTTGCGCTTATGTCATATCTTAAGATATCCAGAGATAAACGAATCGTATGACACCCCACACATCCTCTTGTCAGTCGGTTTATAAAAATTAAACGTTACGTTGCATTTCTTACTTATCAGATGGAACCTTGTTTTTTGATATTATGCTTTTTTTATTAAAAAAATTGATTTTTTTTATCGTAACTAGCCGATGATGAATTAATTAATTTACCAATAATCGACGTTACGTGTTGATTTTTTTTAATTTTATTACAAAAATATTTCTTTTCAAATGAATCAATCAGTTTCATATATATTACACTATTATACAATAGCGTAAATCCTATTCTAAAACAGCCAATATTAAAGTGACACTAGATGCTTATTTTATCAAATTAAAACACCAAAAATGTTTTTTTTTTGCAAAATTAAAACTTAACGTTATCATGTTTTTTTACGAATTTACATTTCTTTTTTTTTTGCAATTTTAAGGTATAACCTAACTTATTATATATAATTGGTGCATGATTTTAAGGCATTCTGTCGTGGTGTATAGTTTATTACACATCAAATGAAAAGAGTTACATGTCGTATGTACCCTTATGAGATGTAACTCTTTACCTCGAATGAGTTTTTGTCAGGCATCTGTGACTTTACAATCGACTACAGAACATCATCATTATCTTAAACACGCATTAAATATACTAATCTAATACTGCTTTGTACCACAGCCAACATTTTAAGATTTAGAATTAATATAAGCTGTATTTAGCTTAAAAATCAATAGCAATAAAAAAAATGTATTTCGTTGACATCAAATTTCATTTGAAAACAAATTTTTAAAATATTTTAATAAGAAATCCTTTCCCATAACGAAATGATCATTTATAATTAGCTAAATTGCTACACGATCAAGTATTAAATGGGAAAGATTTCAAATACAAAATTTGTAAAGTTACTAAACGTACGCCTGTGTACATAAATACACAATTTTACATCGAAACTTAAATCTAGTTACACCATGATGTTTTTTTTTATGTTGCTAGTTGACGAGAAATATTTCGTACTGAATGTGACAGTGTTACTTATACTAACATCTAAAATATACTTAGACTTTACCGTTGAGTGCGATGTGGTTGAGTGGCCTTCAGGAATCGGGTAATTTATCGACTCATCCATCGAAAAAAGTTACATCTCTTATAAATATACTAAAAGATGTAACAATTTTCGCCGGATGTGACGATTTATCGTTGACATCATTGGCAGCTTACATTTCGGCTAGTAATTCTGAGTAGTAATGAGTAGCGCTGAGGTAGTCCAGCAGACGACGAGGTAGTGGCAGACTGCTGATCAGATCGCGTCGCACGTATTTAAGAATCACGAATCTGAAATTTATAAACACGGAAAAAATTAAAATCTTGGAATCTTGTCAAGGGATTTACAGAAAAGCAATATTATTGCAGATACGTTTTTATGTCCACTCCTAACTTATACATTTGAAGAGCGAAGTATCGAATTCTATTTGCGTTTCTATTCTCAAGAGTTGCACCATCTTTTTATTGCTAAAAGCTAAACAATTCAGCTGCTTTCAATCTTTGGACTATATGTCCCACTGACCTGCAGGTGTGCTGCAGGCTCTGGACGCGCTTGAAGCGTGACACGGGGTAGAGCAGCTGCACACGCACCGGCCCCAGCACTGGCCGTAGGTTCAGGAAGAACAGATAGCGGCCGGAACGCGACGTCTCCACTGCGTTCTCGATGAATTCAACTATCGTCTGCGCTTTGAACATCGTGCAACCGCCGAAGCAGAAGTTACCTGATGAGAGACAAATAAATACTTTTACTGTTAAGCTGCAAGGAGGGTTACATTTCGCGGTAACGTGTAGTACCAGGTGCTTGAGCTGGCACGTCGGGTAAAGAATTTTCTTGTACACGATGTGCCAAATCAAGTCGTATAACATGTGACCTACTATAACGACTTATGTATTTCTTAGCTCCTATATGTAGTATAATATTGCTACCAAAATATTCTTTTATCAACAATAGCTCAATATTCAATTTTTAGTAAAAAGTTTTAATCCGAATAAAAACGATTCATTGCCACAGGCTTTAATATGTTAAAAAGATGCAAATGAAATTAAAATAAAAACACGATTCGAGAGAAAATAGTCCATTCGGGGTACATATTGACGTATGAAGTGAGAAATAAAACAAACGCTTAATTTACTCGTACGCTGTGCAATCAAATCCTTTATTGTCCGTCAATATTTGTTCACCGCGCTGTTCACTTTTTAAGCTTTGGTAATTCAACTTACAAATACACGCGTTCATTGAAAAAACAACACTATTCTGACCGCATACAAAACTATTAAACTAAATACTTATTAAATTCAGATAATCTTTAACTGAGATTCAATAAAACTTAAGAGTAATAAAAATTAATTATGTAATTAATACTAAGATTAAAACAGTTTATATTTCTATTTAAACATTGTAGCATCTAACCAATCATTGAGCAATTACAATATGTTTTACACAAGTGTTTCGACAATGGAAACTTAGAGTTACATCCCAAATACTTGAGATTCAGTCTCGAGTACTGGCCGTTTGTATCCGAATGAGCACAAATGCTTGTCAAAGATAACGATGCCGCAGACGTATAGGAGAGTCCTCTTGCCGTCCGCATGCCAGTTGCTAATTCAATTGTTTGAGGAGGTACTCTCCACGAGATGATTGAATTATCACAAAATTGATTGTTCTATACGTTGTTTAGAAGTGGACATCTATTAGATTACATGTTAATATTTGAAATAGTAATCTATTTGCTCAGAACAAATTAGTTCTAAATAATAAAGCCCATTCAAATAATGACAAATTTGTGAAACTGCAACAATTCTCATACAACTTAAATTTTATAGAACATCATTATATGTTAAACCTATTAAAAGTCCCTATCGTAAAATTAATGAATCTTTATGGTTTCGATGTATCATTAAATAAAAATACCCTAGGCAACCTAATAACTTGAGAACGATAATAGATAAGTCTCCTTTTCACTACGCGACTATTATGCTAGGACCAAAACAGTATAAAGACATACCTTGATCGTGTTCGATGCGAACATGTCGGAGACCGTTGAGCTTGAAGGTAAGTGTGAAGATGTAGTGGTCGTCACTGCTGTCGCGTACAATGAATGAGCCGTCCGGCTCGTTGGAGAGAATCTTCTCAGCCGCTTCCACAGATATGGGGCCCCAATACCACGGGTACTGAAATCATAAACATGTATCAACTCAATCGATTGATTAATTGCTTTTAGTATTTGAATCGACACATGAAGTAAACCACGTTCAACTTACATCCTTAACTTTTTGAATAGAAGTGGCAAAGTCCAAGTGCGTGGTGTGGGATGACTGCGGTGACTGCGGCAGCGGTGGCAGGGCTCGGCGCACGGCGGCAGGCGGCGAGCTGGTTACGGTGCGGCTCGAGGCGGGCGCCGGACGCGACGTGCTTGACGCCTCCTCCGACCCCGAGCGCCGCCACCGGAACAAGTTGCAGAAGCTCTGCTTCAGATTCATCGACAGCATCCTCACAGGAGACATTTTCGTTTTCGCGTTCGAAGTTTTCTTCGTCACCTTCTCTGGTTTCTCGACTTCCGGTGCTTCCTTAGGAGCGTTCTCCTTATGCTTCTTAACCTTCGTCGTAGTGGACGCCGAATTCTTGTTCGTATTTCTGTGGTTGTTATTCGCTTCCACCGGTCTGGGAATTTCATTAGTCTCTTTTAAGAACACTGTAGTAGCGGACTCCTTGTTGGTTGTGTGCCGCATATGGATACCAACATTAGTTATTATAGTGTTGCTCTTCTTGTGGATAGTATTGCGGCATTCAGAGTCGCTCGAGCTAGAGTACAGAGTATGTAAATACTTTCGCATTTCTCGCAAAGTGAGATGAAGCGAATCGGTGTCCGAATCAGTGGTGTTCTTCTTGGCCGAGGAACTAGGCAAGCTGTGCCTTTTAGTTTTGGAGTCCTTCGGCCGACTAGAATCTTTTGGCCTATGGCTCCTTTCCACCGGGGTAAAGTTGCTACCGATGTTCTGTGGGGTGCTCTTGCCACGTCTCTTGTTGGGTCTGGATGGCTTCTTGGGCTTCCCCCTAGTATTGCTATGGCTAGGACGCACCATATCTATAGGAACCGCGTAGATATCGCTGTCAAATGGGACATTGTACATGTCCGTTATATCCGAAGTTTTGGCGGAGAGCGTGTCATGAGATATCGCTTGAGTAATGAAGTTCGAATCGTCAGCTTGGAACTGAGTAATAAGAGAGTTGTGGCTGCTCGAAAGCCGGGAGGTGAGAGAGTTCCGCGAAGAGGGGCGGGTGCCTCGGCATGGGCTTAGATGTAGGAGCCTTGGACTAGAAAAACGATGGTTGTAGCCCTGTCGGCGCTCATACAAAGCCTCAGGCTTCAGCTTCCTCGGGTACATAGGTGAAACATGCCGGGTGTGTACTCTCACATCCAGTGGCAACGGAGTAACCTTGATTGGGCTCTCATCTATGGATGAGATGCGAGGCGGCACGCTTACAGGGATGAACCGGTCTATATGGGTGGAAGGCACCGGATCGTCCTAAAACAAAACAAGAAATATTTAAAAAATACAAATCGTATTGGTGAACATTTAATTCATTTTGAACATATCGATATTTGTTTTCGTATTCGTATTGTTTTCGTAAAAGGGTTACATCTGTCAAGATATGGAACTCTTTTCAACGGATGGTTCGATATTATTTTTCAATTTCATTTATATTAAAAAAGTAACGTAAAACAACATGGAACAGCATGCAACTTGTTCGGAAAAATTTTAACAATAAAACTTCACTACAGTTCGTTCTCGTTAGTCAATATTTGTTTTTAATTGACCCTTACTACAGCAGTACTACACTTTTCTATATATTTTATACATATAACGAACCGCACCATTTTTACTTTCTTGCAATTTGAAATTTTTAAACACGAAAATGAAGGAATTATTTGAGCGGGGCGTCTATAATGTAAGAATATTCAGACGCAAATGTCGACTTCCGAAAGACGCCACGTCGCGTCTGGGTGTTGAAACGAATTTCTTAAATTGGTAACAATAGGGAGGAATCTGCCCGCTATTGTCAGATTTATTGTTGACGGGAAATAGATTCCGTGCAGATCTGATTTATAAAACCAAGCGGAGATTTCTAATGCATCGCTTCTGTCTTTTATATTTATTCCTTCCTGCAAATTCCTCATTTTTACCATTCACATGATGAAAGATGATTTTTTTTGTCATATTATAATATATCTAAAGGTTTATTGCCTATAAAAGTACTCTAATCAAACATATAGAACAAAGTCTGGAAGATCACAAAAGCTACTAATTAAGTTTTTTTTAATTCCTTGCGGACGGAGTCGCGAGCGACAACTAGTACAAAATAGAAATATATATGTAAAATCTGAAATAAAATTAATATTAAAATTCAAACTTAATGTTTGCCTATACTTTATAGATATGCAACAAAGTATAGGAAATTAAATGTTGAAACAATCCGTAGAATCCTCGTAAGGATTTATTGAAAACCGCCCTAAACTATGTGGCTTACCATTTCTATTATATGTGGTCAGTGAAGGAAATTGTTGCACAATTGTTAATAGTAGTTTACCTTGGTATAGTGCCATCCAAACTTTATGGCAGCTCGCAATATCGCACGAGACACTGCACACAAAACAATTAACTACAACACCCTATCTGCGTAACAAACAAAAGTTTGACTCTTGTTATATTCGGGTTTACAATGAAACTGTTCATTTCCTTTTCGGAAATATAGTGAGGAATGTTGAATGCAAATTCAGATGCAAACTAGAATCCTGAATATACCTTATTCCAAATGGATACCTAGACTTTATTAATTTACGCTATTTCACTATTTTAAACTTAATGTTGAAAATGTTATTTTCCGAAAACTGCGCGGTACAAAGAGTTGAAATTGTAATTTATAAAGTTGAAATGAATATTTGAGAGATACATTTTACATAGGTATTTAAAATATACGTTGGCGTTATTAATAATGTTTAAGTATTATTGCAACGACGTATAATACAGTTTTTGGAAGTAATACAGAATTGATAAATTTAGTTTCGTAGTGACTATTCTAATTCAAAACTATCAAAGTACACATAAAAATTAAATAATCCCTTTGTTTACAAAATAGTATTGTTTGGAAGGAAAATATTTTTTATACATTTTGTATTGTTACCGGTGTTAATTTATTTCATCAAACAAAAACCAAGCTGAAAATAGACATCGAATAATTTGTTTAAACAATTATTGCTACGGTTGCCAATCTTCTCTAATTGAGCCTTTGTGTTTGGATTTGAATTTGTGTTCATTCAATAATTGATATTGATGACTAGTACCTTCATGTCATTAGCGCAATTATTCATTAAGCTTAAGCTCTACGACTGTATATTCATACTTATTTCTTTGTTTGTCATTGTTACACATATAGTATAAATATGATAAAAACTGTAAAACGAGACACGTACTGTTAATAAACGTAAGAGTTTATTACATTTTATTTTTAATTAGCAGCTCGAGCGCTCTGATGGGTAATTAATTTAACATCCATAAAGTAACTATAACAAGAGGAGTTGTACTTTCCGTTAAAATAGCTTTATTACAATATTACTTAAGTAACGGAATATTATAATATTCAGGAAAGTTCTCTTGATTTTGCCCATCTAGAATATTAAGTTTCCGATCATAGTTGCCGACGTCGGACCGAACGGGTTTACTTTTGCCTTGTAAAGCTATTATTTAAATTAAAATAGAACTGCGGTAAAGAAAAACTATTGAAGCCTGCATTTTATAAAATTTTACACCAACTAAATAAAGGAGATATTATTAGTTTAAAATAATTTTAAACTTCAATGGAAGTTTTTATAAAAATGCAGTGAATAATATCAGCAAAAATGTGAAAGAGTAAAAGACAAGTATAAAATAAAATACTTTCAAGAGAAGGTATTTAACAGTTTTAAATGTAGTCAGCTGCTTACGGATGGAAGCAACGTAGATACTTTAAATTAAGTTTAAAGAAGAGACTATCGATTCTATTCATTGCATCTCCGTTCAGTTGCTTCGATAAAATGAAATTAACAAATTGTAGAGGGGTAAATCGCTTCGACCCGTTAAGACGTTCAACTTCATTTATTCCTATTGTGAATATAATTTTCTCTGATGGCAATTGGATCAGTATTGAATAGGATTATAGATTAAGGTCGTATTCACAGCGGAGTCCAGCTCCAAGCAATCGTTGCACAGGTTTCGAATAAAACTTCAGTTCAGTGATGCGACGACGCGGACAATCCGCTTTTACGCTGTGCGTTATCAACGACTTTCAGCTTGCATCGGCGGCGGACAGATTATTACAGGCCGCTGCAGCCACGCTCAGATTTCGCATAAAGGTACCTTTCGTTTGTAATTGCGCCACAACGGTCGAGGAGAAATGCCCAAATGATTACATCACGCAAATCATGTTAAATTAAATTGCGTTAACAACAATACTAAATTTTTACTAAATATTAGCAAAGACCGTAGAATTACCTTGAAGTAAATAAAACGGCATTAAAAACTTATTAGGAGCAAGTTTGTTAATCTAAAAAAAAAGTAAAAAAGACAAATTATTAGCTAGAACGATTCAAAAGTTTTAAATTCCTATGGCCATCATTCTAGCTTCATCATCAAATCAGCACAATATCATCACAATTTTGCAGCATCATGCGATTTACACTAACAATTACTAAACTAAACAGACTAAATGAAAGCTTGTAAATAAAACGAATTACAAGTGTCAAGTCAATATTCTCATATTTTGTTCTGAAACTATTAAATAATAATGCAATTTTACAGCAAAATGCCAACAAAAACCGTTAAATTCATGCGCTAATGGTACGAAAAGTGACAACATTTTCACGACAAAATTTTGTTAAAGTTCTTTAATATTTCGTTAAAATAAGATAGTTAAAGTAGATGTGGCACAAGAAAACACGAGCGACATTTTCTTGTGCGCCTCTATTTTTAACATACCAAAAAGTGCTTTAGTGAGCCTTTTAACCCTTATGTTCATTTTGTATATATATACATACAACTTTTTAAAAATATACGAACACTAAAAAATAATTTTTAACTTATTTTTTTTTAACTTTGTTTTTTGCTTTTCTTCAATAAAGAAATATTGCCACACTAAGGGTTAAAGTACTTTTATAATATCACCAATTTTAAGTCATTTAATAAACATATAATTACTAAAAATCTTAATGAATTAATAAGTTAGTTTCAACTGTTCTACTCGTGTTCTGAAACATATTGACGACCCTCACTCCATTCAAAAATAGATTTAGCAACATGTTTATGTACAAGTGTTTCGGCTGTGGAAACGCATGGCAACAATCTGTCGAACGAGTTATCCAATTAGTAAGATAATTTATAATAGAGTAGAGCATTTCTAAATAGCTTTTATGTTTGATAAAGATGAATTTTGTAATTACCTTTAACATGACCGTCAAATAATAGGTGGCTTGTTCATAATATAATACCTTTGATTGTTTGATGCTTTTAAACTGGCAGTCTGGGGCTTTTCTCTTTGTTCACGTTCAACTCGGATACGAAACTTAACGATGTTGTTAGTTCGACACATTGTTTATTACAAAGTCCGTAGGAACTTTCCTTTGCAAATTTATTTTATAATAATGAATATTATAATGATCATAAAATGAATCGCTCGTTTATAGATTTATGCAAATATTCCTGTCAGTATTCATTGAGTTCGATGTTGTAGAAACGGAGGGGTTAAGGGGTGTAGGTACATTTAATACATTGGAAATGAACATAAGATAAATAATTATATTTATTTAGTAATGATGATAGGTCCTATAAAACATAAGTTTTATCTGACAAGACTTTTGTATCTAGGTATAAAATCGTTATCTTTTTGGTATTATTTCATGTATGAAAAAATATTTTAAGTAGCTTTCGTTAAAATGTGGTTTAAAATTGTTTAGATAATAATTGTTAATTATGGTTATTACTAGACAGCTCTGAATTTTTTTCTTAATCTAAAATCTTAGCACGAGCTACCATCGTAGCCAGGCTGTAGCTACGTGCTTTAGCACTGTCTACGCGGTGGCTACGAACACGATCGTACTACTAGTTTTTTCTATGGAAACGTAAACTAATTAAATAGCGAACAACCTTTAAATTCGCCGTTATTAGCATAAATATTTATTTTTCACAAAAATCGTTGAAAAATACATTTTACAGTAACTTGAGGATATTAAATCTTGAATATAATTTTTAACTCTTTGTATTCACATTTATTTTACACTGTGTAATAATAAAATCGACGTTTCAATTTGTCAATGCAATTCAAAAGCATTGAAATCGCAAAATTAACAGCGCGCATTGTCGATTTCGCGGTTAATGGATGTTAATTGTCATAATAAGCATTACAATGCGTAATGCGAACGAAGTACCATTGAATATCGAAAATAGTTGGAATATTCAACAAAGAATTTTGTATACAGGTATTTTGAAATAGAGCA